AGCAGATTCAGCATATATTCTTTTTAGAAATTGGTGATACACCCTTATATTGATACTAATAGTGATGTGTAGCATCCAAAGCTATCTGTAGATTCTTTAAATGCTAGAACTTAAAATAATAATTAGTTATCCATAAACAGAGAGAATAATGGTGACTTTTATTTTCTTATTTATAGTCTTCTTTTTTTCCAGATTTCTAAGAGTGACCGTATTTAAGTTTTATAATCAGGAAAAAAGATTTACCATTGAAAAATATTTGGGACCTTGAACACCATCTGTATTCTTCCATGGCATCATTATTCACGAAATAATTAGCCAAGTTTGAATTACAAAATAGGCCTCTTGGTACCTAGGATTGAAAGAAACAGATTGAAGCATGACTAAAATGAATAGGTAATCAGGGATTAGTTTTATTTGTCTCTCATAAGAATTTCTTATGAACTCAGAATGGAATTAGATAACTAATCATTATAAAATGTAGCCTATAGAAATATACCTAGGAATTGATGCAAATAAATAGAATGTAGAGAATATCCTGCCTAACTAACTTAAATTATTATTAACATTAACAACCTCTAATGTTTGTCTCACAGAAGTTCTCTGACTTTGAGGGTATTTCAGTTGTCTACTACTGCTCCACATACCACCCCCAAACTAAGTGACTACAAGCAACAGTAATTTATATATTGACTGGGTTCAGCTGGGTGATTCTTCTGCTCTACATGGTAAAGCTAGCTGGGGCTGTGACATTGAAGATGGCCTCTCATCCTCCAGGATCTCTGCACTTGAACCTCAGTATTCAGTAATCTAGGCTGAACCTCTTGACAACATGGAAGCTGGTTTTCAGGAAGGAGCTTTCCAAGAGGACAAGCACTTATCAAGCCTCTGCTTATATCTTGCTTTCTAATGTACAAAAAAAGTCACACGGCCAACTCCAGAGTCAGTGTGAGAGGGGACTAAACAAGGGTATGGATACAAAGACATCATTCATTGGGGCCCACCAATGTGACAGTCTGCCACACGGAGTCACAGGCCTTCTGAAACTAAATGCTTAGAATTCTGGCCTTTTAGACTACACAAGAGCTGAGGCATGGAATCTTCCTGCCTGATTTTGTTACTTCTATGTTGGACATATCCCTGCTTGAGAATCTTCTATAACTCTTCCTTTACCTTCTCAGAGCCCTTTTTTTTACATCCTCACTTCTGTTTCGTTCTGAGAGGTCTTCTGCCCCAGTGTGTTCTCTATAAACTGCTGTTTTTTCAATGTTTAGATTTAGTGGCAATTTTACAGCTATTTTGCCCTCTTCGTGTTCCTTCCTAAAGATATGGTCAATATAGAAGGACACACTATATCTCTTTCCCCCTTTTTCCTAAGGGTTTATTATTTCCTTCAAATTTTGACCCAGATTACAAAGTTACCCTTCATTCACTCAGTATTAATCGAGTACCTACTATATTGTCTTGTCTGGGTAGCAAGGTATATTAGCCTTTGTTTTCATGGAGCTTATGTGACAGTGTGGGGAGTTAGACAATAAGAAAGTAAGCAACAACAAGAAAAAGCTAGCAATGAGTGCTGGGGAGAAAATAAGACAGGATAAAGTGATAGAGTGTGAGTGGGGTGGAATGGGGAGTTGGGCAGGTAAGGCCTTTCTTAGGACAGACATGTGAGCTGAGACTGGAATGATAGGAAGAAGCCATCCATCCTGACAGAAAGGGTGACCAATAATGCCAGTTTGCTTGGGACTGAGGGATTTCTCCAGACATGGGACTTTTAGTGTTAAACCCAAGACAGTCCAGGGCAAACTGCAATGGATGGGTAGTCCAAGAAGAGGGAACAACAAGTAAACAGGGCCTAGAATTAGGAGGAAGCTTGGCATTTGGAGGAGTGACAGAAGGCCATTGTGGCTGAAAACAGTGAGCAAGGCTTGAGTTGAGACAGACATGGCTGAGGAGGTCAGCAGGTGGTGGCCCTTGTTGGGTCTTATCAGAAGATTGGATTTTATGAGAAGTGTGTTGGGAAGCCACTGCAGGGTTTCAAACAGGGAAGGACATTGTTTTATGTACATTTTAAATGATCATTGACTAGTGTGTAGAGAGTAAACCAGACAGGTAGAAGTTGGGGTGCTGGTCTGGTCATCAGCTTGAGATGATGGTGGCTTGAACCAGGGTGATCACCAGTAGGGAAGCCAATTGTCACTACCAAATCTTCTGCTTCTCACTCCTTCTTACTTCTTCCTTCCTTTCTAAATCAGTAGCTCTTCACCCCTGAAGAGCATCTTCGCTGAAGGAGAGATTCCCAGCAGATTTACCAACTTATGCACCAAAACTCAGTACTACTTGCTTCTCACAGGTGCTTAGTTTTTCTTTTCAGTAATTCCAAAGTACTTGAACAAATAATAGAGTTTGGGTTTTTTTTTAAGTTATCTATTGATTTTCTCATAGAGCCAGATTGGGTTATGCTTTTGAGTGCCAAGCTTAAAGTGATTGATTTTTAATCTTGGATGCCTTTGAAGGGTTATATTTAGAGTTGTGTGACATAAATAGAGCTAAAGGTCAGTCTAGCAGGATGGTGGGGGTAAAACAATGGATGTGGTACAATGTGGATGTGTTAAATTTTAGGCAATAGGAGGCTATTTGAATAGAAATGTTGGTGGGGAGGGTGGGGGACAGTTAGAAAAGTGAGACTAGATCTTAGTAGCAAGGGTGGGTCTGCAGATAGAAAAGTTGGAGTTGCCCACATTTCTATATAGATAGGGGTGGGAGTTGGATTTGGGGGAGGGTATTGATTTGTTTATTCTGCAAGGCATCAAGTATTTATTGAATGCCTCTTCAGTGCTGGGACTGTGTGGTGAACAAGGCAGGCAGGATCCCTGCTCTCAGGGAGCTGTCATTCATTTGGGGTCAGTAGAAGGGCAAACAGTAAGTGAATTAATGAGTAAGATAATTTCAGAGAGTGGTAAGTGCTGTGCAGATAATGAAACAGCGTGAAGTGCTCTGGCTTGGGGGAACTGGGGAAGATTCTTTTTGATGTTGCTAATCGGGGTGACATTCTAGCTGAGACATGAATGATGGGAAAGAGCCAGCCACAGAAAGATCTAGGGGCAGAGTGTTTCAGGCAGAGGTCTTGGATGCCAGAGGCTGATCTTGGGTAAGCTTGCACTTAAGCAAGTGGAGATGTGGAATCAGTGAAGAAGAGAGAGCAGGGGGTGGGGGAGAGCAGGGCAGGGCCTGTGTTGGCTTGACTCACAAACACAGTGAGTACCTTATGCATAGGTAAATGTTCATGGTCAAAAGAAACAAACCAGGATTTTGTTCTACCACCAAGACTGAGGAAGGAGAATTCCAAGAAGGCTGGCATCCATGGCACAACCTGCAAGGAAGTCAAGGAAAAGGTAGATGGTTTTGGTTTTAGGTGACTGCTGGACCATCAAGAATGTCAGAGACCAAACTTCAAGGAGTTAGGAAGCAGGGGCTGAGGAAATAGAGATGGCATCTTTGGGTACTTTAGGAAATTTTTTCCCTTATCATTTGTGAATTGTCATAAAGGACTCCCCTACTATGTACAGCCACCTTTGAGAATCTTTCCTCCTGTGCTCTTGAATTTGCTTGCTTTCTCTTACCTCCTCTGTTACCAACCCTTCCCTTTGGACTCCTTCTTTGCCTTCTGTTTGCTTCTAAGGACTTGCCACTTTGCACTCCTATTCCCTCTTTTCTTCATACCCCGCAGCTGCAGGCCAGTCCTGCCTTCTTTTGCTGGTGGAACCAGTTTCTGAGTCTCCAGCCAGACCCAGGAGCCTGGATCTTGAAGAGGGCAGTGGCATGCAGAAGCTGCATGAAATGTATTTGAGACATTTGATGATGAATGGAAGTGGGGAAAATAGATGATATTTTAGTGGGCCACCAAGGTTTTGTTTAAAATCTCAAAGACCTGTGACGTTGAAAACAAACAGAAGGAAGTCAATAGAGAGGGAGACACTGATGATGAAGGGGGAGAGAGGAGTACAGAATTTGAGGCAGAAGTGGAAAGGTTAACATTAAATAATCTGAGGCGAAATGTTTCTTCCTCTGAATTCAGAGGAAAGGAAGAATGAATGAGGCTGGGTTCAAAGATTCTTGAGTTGGCGACTGGCCCATGGTTCACTTGGGAGAGTGTGGTGCTGACCACACCAAGTCAAGGGTTAAAATCCCCTTACCGGTCTACTTTAAAACAAAACAACAACAACAAAAAAACCCACAAATATTCTTTAGTTGGAAGAGAGATGAGTGGGAGAAGCTTATGGTAAGTTGTCTGGATCTTTTTAGCAATAGAGAAATCAAGGAGGGAAAAAAAAGAAAAGAAAGCCAGGTGGTCTGCTGAAAGTCAAACTCCAAATTGGTGAAGGAATTTTGGGATCACCACTCCAGAGATTTTGCTGCAGAATAATCAAGTGATGAATGAAAGAACTGCCGGGCACCAGCAAAGATCCAGTTGAAGTTGGCGTGTATTTTTAACAGTCTGCCTTTCTCTGGGATTGCTCTGCCAGTATCCAAGCAGCTGGTGCTAATCTTAACTACTGTTAATATAGAGTTTGGATTTTAGCCACTAATTATATTTCAAGAAGACATTATCCTTATCTTTTATAGTAAATCAAAGACTGATTGATTTGTTTTCATCTCATCTTACTTGTACCTGTCAGAGGCTTGTAATTAGTGCTCTGCCTGTGGAATTCAGTATTAAGGAATTTTAATCAACAGCTTTTCCTAGAACCTATTAAACTTGGCTCATTACATTTAGAATCTGGGCTACTATGAAAAACGAAAGCTGTCAAACTTAGCATAGCCTTTCTTTTGTTCACAGTAGTTTCTATGGAGCACTTGAGTTTTGAGGTATACGTCTACTCAGGTGCAGTTTTTAAAATGTTTTGAACAACTAGGTCATAATAATGTCATTCTCAAGTAGAAATTTGTTAACTAAATGGAAATAGATATCATTTCAGGACCTCTTTTTCTTTAAATATTAGGTTGAAAATGGAGTATTTGTAGCCAACCCACTCCAGGAACGCACAATTCTAATGAGAAAAGAGGGTGAGTCTGCAAAAAGCATTAATGAGATGCTTCTGAGTAGACTTTCTCGGTATAGAGCCTCCCCTTCGGCAACACTCGCTGCCCTAACTGGCTCCACCATCTCCAACACGCTGAAGGAAGATCAAGCAGGTATGTTTTTCTGTGCTTACCAGTTCTGTTTCTTTGGGTAGCTGTCCTCAGATAGCTCCATTTTGCAACTTTTTATTGAGCACTTACTCAGTGCCATACATAGTGCTTTACTTTCCATGGTTCCTTCACCTTATTTGATCTTCCAATCACTATCCAGTTTTTTATTCCAAACTAAATATGTATTGTTGGCTAGGGACATGAATTCACATGAATCTGTAATGAATCCAAACAGCTCTGTCTTTAACTGTAAATACCTTATCATCATCACTGTTAGCTTAAAGTAATTGGCTTCATGTTTAGCATATGCTTCATGAATGTAAAAAGCTGATATTTAGCATCGTCTTCACTAAATACAATCTTGCCCAAGCAAGTAAGAAACAAAACTTCTATAATAGAGATTTTGTTCTTTAGAATTTATTATTTAGTTTTTATAACTTAATGTTTTAAAGTAGATAATACATTTACAGAGTTTGAAAGTCAAAACAATGTAAAAAGGTATATACAGAGAAGTCTTATTCCTCCCATGTTAGTGTATTCTGTGTTCTGCCCACACCCTGCTCCTTCTAGATAACTATATTTATTAGTTTTTATTTATCCTTCCAGGCTTTTTTATGCAAATACAAGACAAATTTATGTGTTCTTAATTTTTTGCCTTTTTAAAATAAAAGGTAGCATACTATATACACTGTTCTGCAGTTTTAAAGCAGGAGTTCTTAACGAGGATAAGCCTTTCAAGGCTTCATAAACATGTTCCCCCAAAGTTTTAAATCACATTTTATATGTATCCATCTGTATTAGTCTGTTTTTGTTGCTTATAACAAAATACCTGCAACTGGGTGATTTATAAAGAAAAAAAAAGTTTACTGCTTACAGTTTCTGAGGGTGGGAAGTCTGAAGTCCATCTGATGGTGGCAACAGTGACCCAGGGGTCTCACATTGCAAGATGGTGGAAGCAGAGCGAGCAGAGAGAGAGAGAGAGAGAGAGAGAGAGAGACTATCCTCTTCTTTTAAAGCCCTCAGAACACCCCTGACCACCATTTTTAATCCATTCACTACTGCGTGGTCCTACAATCCAATCACCCCTTCAGGGCTCCACCTTTCTTTCCTTTTATTTATTTATTTTTTAAAAAAAAGATACCGGTAAGGGAATCTTAACCCGTGGCGTTGGTGTTATTAGCACCATGCTCTCCCAAGTGAGCCACAGGCTGGCCTAGGGCTCCACCTTTCAATTACCATAATAGGAATTCCCACCCTCTTAACAGTCACAGTGGGGGCTAAGTTTCTAATATATAAAATTTAGGGAACACAATTCAAGCTTCAGGGAGTTTTGGGGGTGCATGATTCAATCCACTACACCATCATAACTTTCATCAGATTTTCAAAGTCATGTATGACCCAAAAAAGGTTAAGAGCCATTATACTAGAAGAGTTTACAGGTTACATACCAATTACGTGGATTAATAACAAACCATGAACTGCAGTAAAACATAAGTCTAGAAAAAGATGACATATATCGAAAAATGTATGTGAATTAACAAGCTTTTAATTAATTTAATGCAATTTTATGCTTTAATCCTTTTATAGTTTGAAATGCTAGGAAGAGAAAATATTTGTGGTTAATTCATTGTACTACCAAATTAAATATTTATCAGTTCATTTTAGAATTTAAGGATAGTATTTTATTTCCACAGGCCTCTATTGTATCAAATATAAGTGAGGAAATTAATGATAATTATTATAACTTGGGTAAGTGCATAATTTTAGTTATAGGAAATATTTTGTAGAGGACAGTTTTTTTTTAACTAAATAAACATTTTCACGGCAAGATGAAGTCTTGATCTGGGTATGTCCCTTGGGAGAAAATTCAATCTTACCCTGAACAATGGAAATACTAAAGGAATGTTGTTGGATAAGAAAATATATGCAATATCCAAAAAAGACCTCAGAAGTCAAGGGTATATTTAGAATTCTGAGGAAACTGGTATCTGTAGTCTAAGCATGTGATCTCATTATACTTCTCTGTATATTCTCTATATATTCATTTAACATGATGTTGCTACATTAAACATTCACAAGTTATAGACTAAGTGAACTTTTGAAAATTAATAGAACATTCAAAGAGTCCAGAAGTTTTTATTACATGATATACTAATAGCTATTATCATGCTAGTAAGAGTATGTCTATTAAAAACATCTTGGTGAAAATGTTATGTTCACAAAGTTGCTAATTTTCCAATCATTGCCCTTTTTGGGTTTCTTATCTACAGAAATTCATGCTCCTAAATTTATGTACTGAAAGAAGAATATACCTGTTGGGGGCTTGCAGTTTTAAAAAAATTGAGCTTTTTAGAAGCATAAGCATTCAAAACAAGTATTAGACACATTAGGTTTCACTTGCTCATTTTTTAAATCTAAACCACCTAAAAATGATTTTTTCATCTATCTAGGCTATGAATAATAAGTTATATTTTATAGCCTGCCAGCTTCCTAAGTAAAGCATTCTGATTGATTTTCTGTTGACATCATCAATCCTCACTAGGTTAGTATATAGCAAATCCTTAAATTCACTCCACATTTTAGATATGCCGGTAAGGAAGATTAAAGTACATGTCATACCTCTTAATTAGAAAAGATAATTGTTTTCTTAATGATAGTGTATGTCACTGAACCATATATATAATATAAATAAAATGGGTTATCATAAATCATGCAGGTATAAAATTATTTTGTGATACATATTTTAAAAGCTTTTACTGGGTTGAAATTTTTGGCTGATTTCATGTTCAAAGTTGTTTGTAATGAATGTAATATCACAAACCTGTCAAGAATTTGTTCTCTATAAAATGAAAAAAAAAAAAGATCTTGACTGGAGTATCAGTTTCCTAGGGGAAACACAAACAGTAGGATTCTTCTCTTATTTTGAGATTTAGTCCATTTGCGGATTCATTCTTTTGAGAGAATTATTAGAGACATGAGGGCATATTGAAGATTGAGAACACTTTTGAGACATGTTTAACCCATATAACAGGAGGCTTGGAGCCAGGCTATCGGGCCAGAAGATGATTATTTTTTCCTTAGCTATTACTTTTTCTTTTTTACAGCTTTTCTCTTACAGTGCATATGACCAAGATGACCCCTTTATCACTATTAAATATGAAGTGTGATACCTTATTGTGGTTCTGATTTGCATTTCCCTAGTGAACAGTGGTGCTAAACATCTTTTCATGTGCTTATTGGACATTTGTATGTCTTCTTTGGAGTAATATCTATTCAAATCCTTTGTCCATTTTTAAATTGGGTTGTCTTTTTATTAACCAATTAGTCTTATTTAAACTCTTTTTTAGTGTCCTTGGCATGGCTTTTTCACTCATTTAAAATTGACCCATTTGATTAAAGTAGGTCTTCATGGTGCCATTCTTTCATGAAGACGTAACTTACACAGTGATTCTATTTTAGCCCAACTAATCAGTCAATGCCTAAATTCCTTCTGTGTCCTGTTCCAACATTGGTCACTGTAGGGACTACTCAGTAAGTAGAAGAATTGGTGCTGCCTCTAGGAGCTCATGGTCTAGTTGGGAGGAATGATGGAGATGTGTTAGAAAACTAGAAGATGCTAGATGATGCTGCATCATTGCTGGAACTACATGGAGCAGATGTGCATGCTGCAGGATCTGAGAAAGCAACAATCATTGTGGAGTGGGGTAGAAAGGAGAGACTCCATGAGGTTTTGAGTTCAAGTTATGAAAAGTGGGTATTATTCACGTAAGTGGCCAAGTGGGGGAAAGGTGTATATATGGGAAACACAATGAAAAAGCGATTTGGGGAAGATCACTTTGTTGGTGTGGAGGATGAAACAGTAGAAAAAAAGAAAAGAAATAAAGATTATAGTTTAGGTTATAACTCTTAGTCAGGTGTGATGAGGATCTGGACTATTAGAGTGATCGGAATAAGAAAAAGAAACAAACTCAAGAGATACAGTGCTAGAATTTTGTTTGAAAGTGAAGAAAATAACATCAGTCATAGTGTCTAACACATACATGCTGATGTAGATCCTTGACATATTTTAACTCAGTTAATCTTCATAATAACTGTACAAGGTTAGGTACTTTTATTATTATCTTCACTTTACTCATGAGGAAACCAAGAGGTTCAATAACTTTCTCAGGGCCACCCAGAAGTGGTAGAGCTGGAGTTCAAATCTAGAAACCTAAAGACCATTCTCTTCGGTGCTCCAGTATCCTGGGTGAAGGGAAAAAGCCAAAGCATCTCCAAGTTTTAGAGCCAGTGCTTGGAAGCATAGCAACTGAGATGTGTTTGAGTGTACACCAACCTTTATTGAACACTGACTAAATGTAAAGTATTTCTTGTAAATGTTGGTACCTTGTGATGCTAATAATCATAACCCCTCTTACAATTACCCTTTTGATAATCTATATCAAAAAAAATCTTCGTGCAAAAGTTGCCATTTTGAAAACACTTTCAAAAATATGGTCCAATGTTAAATTTAAAAGGATTTTTTGGTGACTGTTTTTTTTGGGGGGTCTTACGAGTATATTCTCCAACTCCTCATAATCTATATCAAAAAAAATCTTCGTGCAAAAGTTGCCATTTTGAAAACACTTTCAAAAATAGGTCCAATGTTAAATTTAAAAGGATTTTTTGGTGACTGTTTTTTTTGTGTGGTCTTACGAGTATATTCTCCAACTCCTCGTTGTTTCTTCCAATAGACAACAACAACAAAAAAGGGTGTGATTTTTATAAAAGTCTTGTTAAGAGCCTAAAATTTAAACTTTGGAAAGTAGTCTTCAGGCTCATTCAGCTTAATGTTTGTTTCCCAAGTCCTAGCCTCTAGCCTGGTGTATAATATTTCGGATGGTCAGTTTACAAGTCGTGCGGATCTTATAGATGCTGCTGGAAGCTCACTGGGGCGTGGTGCTCTTGTACCAGGACTGGGTAAGAAATAAATGTACATATTTTCTTGGAAAATTCCAAAGTTTTAGCAATTTCTTGAAATTTCTTGAAAAATCTTGCCAATTTCCTGTGACATTTTAATTTCCTTGGAAAAAAAGACTTTTTAAAATAATACTCTTTAATTTGGGGAATCAATATGAGAAGCTGCCATATGTAATATTCCTCTGCATAAATTGCTATTGAAGATTCTGTCCATTAAGTTGTGTGATGATTCCTATAACAAATTCTCAGAGTTCATTGCATAAAAAGATTTATTTCTCATGAATTATCATGCTTGTTATTATTAGAAAATGAACATTATGTAATATATTGAATTTTTCTCTTTACTCTGGCTGCTAGGAAGCTCATATCTAAGTTTCGGACTCAGTTACTAGGGCTTTTTTGTGTGTTAATGTTAATTAGTCCTATTAGACCTGGGTTTTTAATATAAGCCACTTCAATCCTTTTTGGAAGTAGGTCACATATAAGTCAGTGACTAAAAACTATTCTGTGAGACTTACTCCTTCTCACACAGGAGTTAAGCAAAATTAAAAATTAAATCCTGACTGTCCAAGTAAATCTGTGGGAGTAGGGATGTGGATTGTCAGCATTAGAGGGAATCCTTGCCCTTCCCTTCTTTAGCAGTGCTTGGGAGAAATATGCATACAAGCAGATGGCAATACGACAGTTGAATAAAATATGTTCTTTTCTCAGGTGCCTGTTACGATACAGTGAACAACATGCTGTGGACATGCTCAAATGACTATATTGATCAGTGGTGTAATCCCGGGAATCAAGCCTTCCACTATGTCTGCCAGAGACTTGGAGTCAGCCACATCATCACTGAGCCCAAAGGTGAGGTGCAGTCACAGTCTTGCAAGAAGAGATTTCCCTGCCTGAGATACAAGGGAATGCAGCTGCCTTAGTAGGTGGGAACATTGACCAACAACAAAATGTATCAACAGCCTTCTCACTTTGAACTTAGAAACCTAAAATGTTTTATCTGTAATCCTGAAAAATGGTTTATGATTAAATAAATAAGTATGTAAGTAAATAGAGCTTTTGAGGTGGTCCATAGACTTTTTTAAAGAAAAATGGTTATGTTCTTCCTGAATTTGTCAGAACTTGGGTGCAAAATTGATTATTTGTATTTGGCATGGGATTATATGCTGTTATGTTTTATGTTGATAATGACTTATTTATATGCAAATTTATAATTAGAATTATCCATGAAGTACCTTTATATTTCTTAACATTAATATTAACGTTCTTAATAGTAAGTTAATATTAACTTAAAATCATATGGCTTTAAAATCAACTATATTGGTATGGAGGAACAAATAGCTCAGAAAGTCCTCTCCCCATAAAGCAATGCTAAAACAGACAAAATTATCGAAAACAACTATTTCTAGGCTCTGGAAATTGGCTAAAGGCACACACCAAATTGAGAAGTGGTTATTCATAAAGCTTAGTCAGCACAGTCATTCTACTAGGGTGGGGCAGATTGTGAAAAACAGCAGCTTTGCTGCCAGGGGGGGTTGACTTGATCAGGAGCAGAGCATAGACAAACTTCATGCCCAGAAGCGCTGTCAGTAATAGTAGTAGTCTTGGTGGCAAACAAGTGGAGATGACCAGTGGCTCAGCTAGCCTGAGACTGTGATCCTGGTTAGGGCAAGCAATGGACGAGCAGACTAGCTAGAAATTGAATAGTGAGATCTAGGTAGTGAGAAAGCTAAAGGGGACCTTGACAAGCTCTCCACACCTCTACACAGAAGAGGCCTGAGAGGGCCCAAGCTGTTCACACATTTCTGGCGGAACATGAGCCTGTAAAGAACACATATGCAAAGATGTGAGAGTGCCTGTCAGAAAGTAAAAACCAGGGCAGAGTTTAAAATTGCCTGAACTTTGATGCACTCTCCACAACATACAGATCCATCTAGAGTGAAACTTACTGGCTCAAGGTGTTTGAACACAACCTCTGGCTAATCGCTGGTTGACAACCACTAAGGAATATAGACATGGTGACATGTAGGAAGCTAGACTGAAAAATAAAAACAAGAATAATAAAAATAAATCAAAGAAAACAACAAGGATATAAAAAACAAACTGAGCAGAGAAATCAGTAACCACACACTGCAGGGGAAACTCAGATCTTGGGCTTGGCAGATGGAGACTTTAAAGCAGCCATTACAAATATGTTCAAAGAACTAAAGGAAACCATGTTTAAAAAATCAAAGGAAAGTGTGATGACTGTGACTAAACAAATAGAGAAATTCAATAAATTATTTTTAAAAAATGGAAATTCTCAACTTGAAAAGCACAGTACTAAAAAGAAAAATTAATTAGTGTGGTTCAACAACAGATTTGAGATGGTGGGAGGAAGATTTAGCCAACTTGGGACATAGATAGATAGAGTTATCCCATCTGAAGAACAAAAAAAGATACTTTTGAGGAGTACTGGTCAGGTATTTTGTAGAATATTCTCAGTTTGGGTTCACCTGATGTTTTTGCAAGATTACTGAGGTTATGGATTTTGGTGAAGAATACTGCAGAGGTGATGTTCCCTTCACGGTACATCATATTACAGGGTACGTGATATCAGCATGACTTATTACTAGTGATGTTAAAATTAATCACTTGGTTTAAATGGTGTCTACTAGGTTTCTCCACTATAAGATTACTACTTTTCTCTTTCTATATTGTGTTTGTTACAAGCAAGTCATTAAGCCCAGACCATACTCAAAGGAAGGGGAATTAGGCTCCACCTCCTAGAAGGAAAAATGTCAGAGAATTTTTGGACATATGTTAATCACCACAGTTATTAATAAATTGGTGGGAGGAGAGAGATATTTTAAGGCTATTCAACTATTTATATTTTCTATTTCTTGAGTTAGATTTGGTAATTTGTGTCTTTCTAGAGATTTGTGTGTTTCATCTAAGATTTCTTATTTGTTGGCATAAAGTTGCTTATGATATCTGTAGGTTTAATAGTACTTTCTCTGCTTTCATTCCTGATTTTGGTATTTGTGTAAATTTAGTAAAAAAATTTTAATTGTGCACTTAAACTGGGTGAGTTTTATGATCTGTAAATTATATCTTTAAAAAGCTATTTAAAAAAGGGGGCCGGCCCGGTGGCGCACTGCTACAGTGCGCCGCTTGGGAGCACGGCGGCGCTCCCGCCGAGGGTTCGGATCCCACATACAGACCAGTTCCCGCTCACTGGCTGAGCAAGGTGCGGGTGCAACACTGAGGGTTGCGATCCCGTTGCCGGTCCCCGTCCGGTACGGGGGCGACACTGAGGGTTGCGATCCATTGCCGGGCACAAAAAAAGACAAAAAAAGGAAAAAAAAAAAAAAAGCTATTAAAAAATAGCAAAAAGAAGAACTAATGTCAATTATATGTTAGTAACTCCCAAGTTTCTTGCCTGAACTCCAGACCATGTGTTTACCTCTATCAAAAGACAAAAAAAGGAAAAAAAAAAAAAAAGCTATTAAAAAATAGCAAAAAGAAGAACTAAAGTCAATTATATGTTAGTAACTCCCAAGTTTCTTGCCTGAACTCCAGACCATGTGTTTACCTCTACTTGGTTATCTAATTTTCAACTTAATATGTCAGAAACAAACTCCCTATTTCTCTACCTCTCCAAGTCTGTATCTACTGAGTCTTCCACATTTCAGTATATGGATCCCCATTTTTTCATTAGATCAGACTGAAAAATTTGGGTTATCATTGACTCTCTCTCACACTGCACATCCAAATGGATATCAGTACATCCTGTTAGCTCCTACCTTCATTCCCAAATCCAACCATTTCCCAGCAACTGTGTTGCTGCAACTCTAGTCCAAGCTGTCATCATCTTCACCTGGATATCCCAGTAGCCTCCTCACTGGTCCTTCTTCGTCTACAGTTGTCCTCCTCTACCCCCTTAGGCTCATCTCCACCCAGCAGCCTAGGAAAGTCTTTCACAGTCATAGTAGCCAGCTCTGTCACTCCTCTGTCCTCTGTTCAGACATCTCCATCGGCTCCCCATCTAGCTCAGAATAAAAAAATCAAAGACCTCATTTATTTCAGTAGGTCCCAAAGCTAGCCTTTGAAAAGTCTTTGGTAAAAATGAATAATACTCACCCAAATTCTATTGTTTTAGGACAAAAGATCCATAAGGCACAGAAGAGAATGGACACATTCTGGTCATAGGATTAATATGCAATCAAAAAATTTTGTTTTGGCCAAGTCTACCTTCCATTCAGTTTTTCCTTGAGTCCTGTCCTCATAGTTCCCAGCGCCTACAATCCTTTTGTTACCCCACCCAGGCCCACTTTGCCAAGATAATCTACTTTCTCATTCCCTTTAGGCAGTTCATTTCAGCTGGGTTTAAGGAAACAAAGCAATCCTTTTGGTACTTTGCCTATTTAGATTATTTTTGCCTCCATTTCCTGAATGCCTGAAACCAATCATGAGGTATTTATTGTGTAAGAGGATGCTTGTCAACCCTTGCAGGTTTAAATGATGGATGTCTAGGCTATGATGACTAAATGAGATAAAAATGTTAAGGTACTGTGGAGGAGCTATTTGTGGGCAGGGGGATTCTACCCTAGAGTAGCCATAGAAGATGGAGACATTTTACTAGGATGAGTAACAGCATGGGCTGTCGGCTAAGTTGGCCTGAATTCAAATCCCAATTTTACCACTTCGTAGCTGTGTGACCTTGGGCAAGTTACTTAACTTCGCTGACTCTTGGTTTACTGCTTTACAAAACAGGGCTAAAGTAGTCTAAGTTTATAACCCTCTTGTAAGGTAATGCATATAAAGCATTTAGCTCATTGTCCAGCATTTAGAAAGGGCTCAATAAGTGGTAACTAAGTATGTGTGAAAAAAATTGAAATTCACAGGTATTTTCACCCCAGCGCTCTGTGGCAGGGAGAAGGGATCTCCAGCAGCAGTGGTAGAGATTGGAGCCAAAATATGCTCTCCTAGTGTGCATTTACCTTTTGTATGTCATGGGTCTGTTCCTTGGGGATCAGTTCTAGAGATGTCTTTCCTCACCGAGTTTCTTTTTCATCTTCTAGAAGAGGCTATAACCACAAATGAGGTTATAAACCAATTATTGCACCACGTTGGTGCGATGTGCATACACCAACTCAATCTTCTTGCTACCAACCCCAATCTTCCAATCACAAGTGTCTTGGGCAAGCAGCATCCAATTGAAGCACACCATCTTAGCAGTATTTGTGACATTATGGAGAAGGCCATGGTTAATGGAGATACCTGTATTATACGCTGCATCCTTGTTGTCTTTCAGGTAAATACACTGTTTTGAGATAAATAAGATGATAGAGAAAAAGAAACACAAACCTTGGCTTTAGCCAGTTAATTTCTACTGGAAGAAAAATTTAGTAACATTCCTGTTTTGCATCTTACCACCTTCTAATCCTGTAATTAGAATTATCATCATATTCATTGAACTGCAGCTAATGGAGTATTGCTATATGTAGCTCATTGTAATAAATATACATAAAATATTTACTATAATTATATCATTACATAGGAGAAGAGATTGTGGCTAAAAATCCACCTGGTTATCTATTTATAAGAATATCTACCATCTATTTTCTTCATAGGGATAATTTTATCCTCAGTAGAATTAGCATTTTTAGATATACTCCTTATGTTTCTTTAGGTGGTGTTTAAATTTTTCTTCAGCCCACAAACTGAAAGGAATCGAGACATCATTCGACGGTCAGGATTGCTTCTTTGGCAGTTGTTGATGGCACCAAAAGATCAAATTTGCCCTGAAATTCAGAAGGAGGTCTGCCTTGCTATCAGGTAAACAGCAAATAATCTTCTTAGTGCTCTCTGCAAAATGATTCTTCTGCAAGGCATTGTAATGTTCCCTGCAAGCTAGTAGCATAGATGTCTCTGATCCCATCTTACAGTCAGAACCTTATGTATTAGGGACAGTTTAATTGGAGAGGGGTTTGTGGCCTCACCCTCACAGGACCCAAGGCAACTGTGTACCTACATTTCCTCATCTTACCTTTTGGATCTTCAAAAAACCCTTTAAGTGGATATTTTGTTTGCAAGTAGATGTTCTTGTTTGGGAGGGGGTGTGGCAGGATGGTTAAGAAGCAGGCTTTGGCAACAGGTAGACCTGAGTCCTAGTCTTTGCTCTCCCACTCACTAGCTGTGACCTTGGTTTGAGGCTTCTGTTTACTCAGCTGATATAGGCATAAAAATAGCACCTACTTTAAAGATTTGTGTGATTTTAATAAGATAAAATCTAATGTAAAGGAAGTGCTCAATAATGTTAGTCTTTATTAATCTGCTTAAAACTTTGTTAGAAAAGAAGGCAGAATTTGTGGGCCATTTTCTATTTATTGTCATTTAATGTATCAATTTTATTGAGTTCGGTGAACTTTTATCCAGGAATATAGCCTTAATGTGACCAAGTATAATTTAGTGACCAAGAGTGAACTGAGTGGTTAGTCTGAAAGAATTGTATGATAGGAAACCACCAAAGTGCAATGATAAACAATAAGAGAGGAAGAATGAAACAAAAGATATATAAAACAACCAGAAAACTATCAACAAAATGACAGGAGTAAATCCTCACCTATCAATAAAACCTTCAATGTAAATGGACTAAATTCCCAGTTAAAGGATATAGACTGGCTGAATGGATAAAAAAACAAGGCCCGGGCCGGCCCGGTGGCACACTCGGTAGAGTGCGGCGCTTGGGAGTGCGGCGGCGCTCCCGCTGAGGGTTCGGATCCCATATAGAGACCGGTCCACTCACTGGTTGAGCGCGGTGTGGGCGCAACACCGAGGGTTGCGATCCCACTGCCGGTCGCGGTACGGGTGCGACACCGAGGGTTGCGATCCTGTTACGGGTCACGAAAAAAAAGACAAAAAGGATCGGTGTGGGCGCAACACCGAGGGTTGCGATCCCATTGCCGGTCGCGGTACGGGTGCGACACCGAGGGTTGCGATCCTGTTACGGGTCACGAAAAAAAAGACAAAAAGGGTATAATGTATGCTATACGAAGTTATTACGATCCTTTTTGGAAGTAGGTCACATATAAGTCAGTGACTAAAAACTATTCTGTGAGACTTACTCCTTCTCACACAGGAGTTAAGCAAAATTAAAAATTAAATCCTGACTGTCCAAGTAAATCTGTGGGAGTAGGGATGTGGATTGTCAGCATTAGAGGGAATCCTTGCCCTTCCCTTCTTTAGCAGTGCTTGGGAGAAATATGCATACAAGCAGATGGCAATACGACAGTTGAATAAAATATGTTCTTTTCTCAGGTGCCTGTTACGATACAGTGAACAACATGCTGTGGACATGCTCAAATGACTATATTGATCAGTGGTGTAATCCCGGGAATCAAGCCTTCCACTATGTCTGCCAGAGACTTGGAGTCAGCCACATCATCACTGAGCCCAAAGGTGAGGTGCAGTCACAGTCTTGCAAGAAGAGATTTCCCTGCCTGAGATACAAGGGAATGCAGCTGCCTTAGTAGGTGGGAACATTGACCAACAACAAAATGTATCAACAGCCTTCTCACTTTGAACTTAGAAACCTAAAATGTTTTATCTGTAATCCTGAAAAATGGTTTATGATTAAATAAATAAGTATGTAAGTAAATAGAGCTTTTGAGGTGGTCCATAGACTTTTTTAAAGAAAAATGGTTATGTTCTTCCTGAATTTGTCAGAACTTGGGTGCAAAATTGATTATTTGTATTTGGCATGGGATTATATGCTGTTATGTTTTATGTTGATAATGACTTATTTATATGCAAATTTATAATTAGAATTATCCATGAAGTACCTTTATATTTCTTAACATTAATATTAACGTTCTTAATAGTAAGTTAATATTAACTTAAAATCATATGGCTTTAAAATCAACTATATTGGTATGGAGGAACAAATAGCTCAGAAAGTCCTCTCCCCATAAAGCAATGCTAAAACAGACAAAATTATCGAAAACAACTATTTCTAGGCTCTGGAAATTGGCTAAAGGCACACACCAAATTGAGAAGTGGTTATTCATAAAGCTTAGTCAGCACAGTCATTCTACTAGGGTGGGGCAGATTGTGAAAAACAGCAGCTTTGCTGCCAGGGGGGGTTGACTTGATCAGGAGCAGAGCATAGACAAACTTCATGCCCAGAAGCGCTGTCAGTAATAGTAGTAGTCTTGGTGGCAAACAAGTGGAGATGACCAGTGGCTCAGCTAGCCTGAGACTGTGATCCTGGTTAGGGCAAGCAATGGACGAGCAGACTAGCTAGAAATTGAATAGTGAGATCTAGGTAGTGAGAAAGCTAAAGGGGACCTTGACAAGCTCTCCACACCTCTACACAGAAGAGGCCTGAGAGGGCCCAAGCTGTTCACACATTTCTGGCGGAACATGAGCCTGTAAAGAACACATACGCAAAGATGTGAGAGTGCCTGTCAGAAAGTAAAAACCAGGGCAGAGTTTAAAATTGCCTGAACTTTGATGCACTCTCCACAACATACAGATCCATCTAGAGTGAAACTTACTGGCTCAAGGTGTTTGAACACAACCTCTGGCTAATCGCTGGTTGACAACCACTAAGGAATATAGACATGGTGACATGTAGGAAGCTAGACTGAAAAATAAAAACAAGAATAATAAAAATAAATCAAAGAAAACAACAAGGATATAAAAAACAAACTGAGCAGAGAAATCAGTAACCACACACTGCAGGGGAAACTCAGATCTTGGGCTTGGCAGATGGAGACTTTAAAGCAGCCATTACAAATATGTTCAAAGAACTAAAGGAAACCATGTTTAAAAAATCAAAGGAAAGTGTGATGACTGTGACTAAACAAATAGAGAAATTCAATAAATTATTTTTAAAAAATGGAAATTCTCAACTTGAAAAGCACAGTACTAAAAAGAAAAATTAATTAGTGTGGTTCAACAACAGATTTGAGATGGTGGGAGGAAGATTTAGCCAACTTGGGACATAGATAGATAGAGTTATCCCATCTGAAGAACAAAAAAAGATACTTTTGAGGAGTACTGGTCAGGTATTTTGTAGAATATTCTCAGTTTGGGTTCACCTGATGTTTTTGCAAGATTACTGAGGTTATGGATTTTGGTGAAGAATACTGCAGAGGTGATGTTCCCTTCACGGTACATCATATTACAGGGTACGTGATATCAGCATGACTTATTACTAGTGATGTTAAAATTAATCACTTGGTTTAAATGGTGTCTACT